ACTGGCAGGACATTCAGCATGGATTCTAGGACTAACTCTGACTGATATTGAGTTCTGCATGTCTGAAGTAATCATTTCAAGCACATGGTCTCAGGTGGAGGTTGTAGTCAGATGGTACTCAAGAGCAGATTTATAGTATCTGCTACTGTAATCTTTTTTTTTTTTTTTTTTAATAAAACCTCAAACACTATCTTCATCATAGGAATTGCAGCAAATGGAAAGAGGACCAGCTGGTCTTTACCAGGTCATTACCAGAAAAAATCACTTCAGGAAAACCTGAGCTTAAGTTACTTCACAACAAATCCAAAGCAAATCAAAAGGAGAAAAATAATAACAGGAAATAAGATAATAATAAAAGTAACTTCAGGAAAACCTGTTATAAATTTATTTCAGAATAAACCTAACACAACTAAAGAGGAAGAAAATAATAACAGGAAATAACATTGAATGGAGCTCTGCCGAGCAGTCAGAAAATCCTTCTTCCAGGAGCTGGCGGTGCCTCAGCCACTAGAGTTACCTGTACTCACCCCTCCTCCACTTCCTTTGTCATCAATGCCCCTTGAGTTGCTACTTCAGAAACCAGAACATCTTTTCACCGCAATCCCCAATTCCCTAGCTGCTTTGTGTAAGCTCTGGGTCTGCCATGAAGCATATACCTTTTTTTGTTCCTTTGTCATAAAGGTGCTTTCATCTAACACCCACAACTGTAATGTCTACACCAACAGTCCAACCGTAGACGCCGTCTTTGACTGGGCACTTGCTAAGGTCTTAGTACCAGGCCCTTTATATTGGCTATCCCGTTGACTCAGTGAACTAATAAGTACTCTTACTCACTAGTACGGAATTACTTTCAGAGGTCAGACTTCTTTAAATTGCTTTTGGCTTTAAGCTGTGCTGATCATGCCACTGTATTCCCACAAAAGTTGCTCTTGGAAATAGCCCTCAGCATCTTCTTAATGAGAGAGGTTTAAGAGTTAATATTTAGAATTCACTGGGATACTGTAACCCTGGGCCACAAATTGCATTTTGATACTTAATGTCAACACTTTGGGCTTTTTTAATATAGGAAATTTCCTTTTTTTTCACCAAAGCCTAGCACTGAGAAACACTCATTTCAGGATGCTTTCATTTCCCTATTTATCCTGGATACTTCCATAGTTAGCAAGGTGTCTGTTATGTACAACATGGACAATTCTGGCTAATATGTATCCAGCCATATATTCCTTAATGTCTTGATTAGTACACTATGGAATGTATAGTATTCGAAATCTATTTTATTTCATAGTATATATTCTTATAATGAATAGAAATAAGCTCACTGTTTTCTTATTATTTTAGACTTTAGACAATTTCATTAATGAATACGTTAATATCAACAAACCCACTGTGAACCTAAAAGGCCATTTTTTATTCTTAGAAACGTAACATCTTAGAAGATTTTTATTCTCATATTCAAGACTAGAATTTTTTCTTAAAAAATTAGAGACATAATTGGGCCATTCCAGGAGCCTGTTAAGTACAGGTTAAACCTTGGTCAAAATAGCACTATTGAAATAGAAATTGATGAAACTCTGCTGCTCCCCCCCTCCCCCCCCAGGTCACAGATACGATCTTTGAAAATCTGCTCTTCCAATTATTCTGGCAAAAGAAACAAGCTGGTAACTAAGTGAGAGATATATTAAGAGTTTCCCACACACTGTTTAACACACAATACAACAATTCTTATTAGTAAAAAGGGGAAAAGAAAGACAAATGGAAAAAAAGGTAAAGACCTGCCAGGCCGAACTCACCAACAACTGCATCTCAATGGGATGAGGTGCACCTGAGTGCCTCAGGAGTTTAAATAGTTAGAGAGAGAAGCAGAAACAAAACTTAAATTCAAATTGTTGCTTTGAAGGCTGGGTCAAAAATTCTCTCCCCCTCATTGGCTGGAGAAGTCTCCTAATGTTTAATCAGTTTACACAGTTTATCCCACCACGAGTCACAGATTTTCATTTGCTCTCTACATACGTATAAGAAGTGTTTTAAGAATGTCAGATGACTGCTCTCTGTTGGGATTTCCACTTTCCTCCTTTCTAAATGTCCATTATTGCTTGTGGGGCTGGAGGGGGAGAGGTGTTGGAGAGCAAATTATTATAACAATGGAATGCTTTGTTATCAACGGCACAGTCTTGTGGACATTTACTCTTGACAATTTAAGAAAAAAATCTTAATCTTCAGGTGAATACATTTTTGATTCTTATTTTATTGCTGCTATACAACCAAACAAACATCAAGTTCTGCTTAACACAAGCCCTGCAAAATTTCCTTTGTCCTTGACAAAAGTTCTGGTTCCCGCTGACGAGGTTTGAGAAGGAGGGGAACAATGCCACGACTGGTAACTGAAACCCGTGCTCCCCAAAGTTAAAACAAACAACTTGTCAGTGTTTTAATCAGTCTAAGAAAATGATTTATTTTTATTTTGGCAACAATCTAGCATTCAAGAAATATTGCTAATGATTTATAAGAAAACTTAACTTTGTTGGACCAAAGATACAGGTGTGGTAGGCAAGGGGGAAAAAGGGGTCATCTGTAATAGTGTCAAAAATGAAAATTAAAAATTAAAAAAATTTGTATTGAATTTATTAGGGTGACATTGGTTAATACAATTATATAGATTTCAGGTGTACATTTCTATAATATATCATCTGTACACTGTATTGTGTGTTCACCACCCCAAGTCAAGACTCCTTCCATCACCATTTACCCCCCTTTGCCCTCTCCCACCTCTCTCCCCTTCTCTTTCCCTCTAGTGATCACCAGACTGTTGCCTGTGTCTATGATTTTTTTCCCTTTAATCCCTTCACATTTTTCACCCAGCTCCCAACACCCCTCACCTCAGACAGCAGTCTGTTCTCTGTATCTATGAGTCTGTTTCTATTTTGTTTTTTAGTTTATTTTGTTGATTAGATTCCACATATATGTGAAATCATATGGTATTTGTCTTTCCCTGACTGGCTTATTTCACTAGCATAATACTCTCCAGGTCCATCCATGCTGTCACAAAAGGTAAGAGTTCCTTCTTTTTCACAGCCTTGTAGTATTCCATCGTGTGGCTGTGCCACAGCTTTTTGCATACTCATTTCAATATTCCTGATCTTGATATTTTTCTGTTCTTATATAGTCCTTTGAACTGCTTGTAACATCTTACAGGTGTCCTTATTAATACTTACTTAAATAATAAATAAATGAATTAAAATCTTTAGCACATGTTTATTTTCTTTCTGAATGAATCATGATTACTCTGATTTGTTTGGAAGAGTATCCTTTAATAAAAATATAAAGGAAAAGTAAGTTTTTGAATGGAAAGTTTTGTAATTGGGTGTCTATAACCTCTGATCTCACAGATGGTTACTAGTCTTCTCTTTTTCACTTTTTGTGCCATAAGTTCACTTTTCTAATTTTTGTTCAGCTACCATTTCCTTATTTTTTACATCAGATTTTTATTTTTAAATCCTCACCTGAGGATATTTTTTTCCATTGCATTTCAGAGAGAGTGGAAGGGAATGAGACAGACAGAGAGAAACATTGATGTGAGAGAGACACATTGCTTGGTTGTCTCCTGCACGTGTCCCCAACTGGGGCCGGGGATCGAACCTGTAACAGAGGTATGTGCCCTTGGTTGGAATGGAACCTGGGACCCTTCAGTCCATGGGCCGAAGCTCTAACCACGGAGAAAACTGGCCAGGGCAGATAAATGCTTTGATGAATGGCAAACCAATGCAGCACTTGGTAATTTAAATCTGTGCTCCACGAAGCTAAAGCAAACAAACAAANCTTGATATTTTTCTGTTCTTATATAGTCCTTTGAACTGCTTGTAACATCTTACAGGTGTCCTTATTAATACTTACTTAAATAATAAATAAATGAATTAAAATCTTTAGCACATGTTTATTTTCTTTCTGAATGAATCATGATTACTCTGATTTGTTTGGAAGAGTATCCTTTAATAAAAATATAAAGGAAAAGTAAGTTTTTGAATGGAAAGTTTTGTAATTGGGTGTCTATAACCTCTGATCTCACAGATGGTTACTAGTCTTCTCTTTTTCACTTTTTGTGCCATAAGTTCACTTTTCTAATTTTTGTTCAGCTACCATTTCCTTATTTTTTACATCAGATTTTTATTTTTAAATCCTCACCTGAGGATATTTTTTTCCATTGCATTTCAGAGAGAGTGGAAGGGAATGAGACAGACAGAGAGAAACATTGATGTGAGAGAGACACATTGCTTGGTTGTCTCCTGCACGTGTCCCCAACTGGGGCCGGGGATCGAACCTGTAACAGAGGTATGTGCCCTTGGTTGGAATGGAACCTGGGACCCTTCAGTCCATGGGCCGAAGCTCTAACCACGGAGAAAACTGGCCAGGGCAGATAAATGCTTTGATGAATGGCAAACCAATGCAGCACTTGGTAATTTAAATCTGTGCTCCGCGAAGCTAAAGCAAACAAACAAACTATCAACATTTTAATCACAGTTCAAAATAATATATTTTCATTTTGGCAACAATCTAGTACTAAAAAATTACTACTGCCCGGCCGGGCGTAGCTCGGCAGTTGAGCGTCAACCTAGGATCCAGGCGATAGGAGTTTGATTCCCGGTCAGGGCACATGCCCGGGTTGTGGGCTCGATCAATGCCTCTCTCATCATTGATGTTTCTATCTCTCTCTCTCCCTCTCCTTTCTTCTCTCTGAAATCAATAAAGATATATTTAAAAAAGAATTACTACTAATGATTTATAAGAGAATTTAACTTTGCTGAGACAAAGAGGAGGAAACTCTTTAGACAATTGTAAGTGCTATATATTTGCACATAACTCCCTTGTGGGAGTTAATTTTGGGAGTTAATATTTTTATTGGGAGTTAATATTTTTATTGAGACCTTTAAGAGGAATCATTACACTGTATTCAAAGGAAAAAATTTCACAACACCTAATAAATAAAAACAGATTTTTATACTTACCGTGCCCCACCACAGGGCATCCGCGTACGTAGAAAACTCTTTATTGGCGTCTTTTTCCACCAGGTAGACAAGGAAAGACGAAAAAATAAGAACCAAAAATCCTATGTACCAAGCTGTGATTAATTCCTAGATAAAAAAGGAATGAAAGATTTTTAGAGGCGAGGGAAATCTCTGAAAAAGGAAAACAAATCCATGCAGGATGGCATTCGTTGGACTGCTTCTTGGATATTTATGATGACTTTCAATTAAATTATGATGACTTTCAAATAATCCATTATATACCAAGTCTACAAAGTTCTCTGATCAATTTCTGAAATGGCTAAGTTTGCTTGTGACAGATTTATCAAATATTACAGCAACCAAGGAAGACGTTTAAAGAGCCTTGTTCTACGACTCAGAGTAAATCTTACCTTGCTGTGAGCATAAACCACTGAGCCTAGTAATTTCCACGTGCCTCCCCTGCGGTCCATGCGCACCATGCGGAGGATCTGTAGGAAACGGAGACTCCTGAGTGCGGACGTGGCAAAAATGTTACCCTGAGTTTTTGCAGAAACAACTGCTATTGAAGCGATAAGAACAATGGTATCTGAAAGAAACAGGTTGAAACAGCCATGAGACGCATGACAAGGCATTTTTATTTCTCAAAACAATATTTCAGAAAGGCTCACTTGGACCTATGCGAGGTACCAATAATCCGGATCTCGAACCCCAGCAAGGCATAGCCTGCTTGGGCTCTGTGACGACTGAAGAGCGAGAAGGCAGAGAGAGGGGCCTATCTACTGCCTTAGTTCTGAGCCATGATCATTCTGTGCTTTCCCTGTGCAACTGGGAACCGCTTACTACTTAACCCTCAACAAAGCGGCAATGGACTGCAGAGAATTTGGTGTTCCAGGGCGCCCTGAAGCTGTGGGCAGCTGTCCCCAACATCCCTGGCTTCCTCAGCATTCCTGGTGGCAGAAGGCAGCTTCCTCCTCAGCCTTAGCACCTCGGGGTCCTGGTTGATGCCACAGCGGCATCACGGCCTGTCCAGCCATGACAGTGCCACTTGGTATAATCGTGCCTCTTGTTTCCTTGACAAAGAAGCTTGGAGCTCCCGTCTGCAAAAAATGCCCTTACGTTGCAGAGTCTGCAGCTTTACATTCTGTTTAACAAAGGCCTCAACTAAGCTGGATACGCTAAGCTTTCTGCACGGAGTACACTTTATACCTGGTCAGTCAATTATGTGTAAGTTTGGTGCACAGATAAAAGAACATTACATTTGTTACAATAGAGTATGTAATTATACACACTGTGCATTGCATGGGAATTAATATTTGGCATATTGGCATTTGGCTTAAAAAATCTGCCCCTTTGTAAACTGAAAAGAGAAAAAAAATGTGGCCAATGAAAGCATGGAAGAGATAAAAAAAGACTTAATCGCTCCCAGGGTAAGTATCTGAATGATGGAAAATAGGCTTTGAAGTGGGGTGCGTGAAGCGGGGATGGATGACCTCCTATAACAATTTTAGAATAAGTTAGCCTGACCTTGACATCCTCAAATAAACTTTCCCTCCTGCTTCAAGTGGACTGTGCATGACTGGGCACCCACACTCCGCAGAGGAGTTCCACTTCAAGGGCGTTGCTTTATAATGTCTGCGATCCTTAGGATTAGCTGCTAGAGGGATGCGTGCTCATTACTCAGCTCAGTCCTCCCTGCGCTCGAAAAGCTGCGGTCTGCTGGCGTGGACTGAGATCTTCTGACTCACTCTCCTGGTGCCCCTTTGGGTCAGGACTTTGCGAGGGAGGGAGAGGGGGTAGATGGCAGTACAGAGGCCAGCAGAGAGGCTTTTCCCCAACAGATCTGAATGCTCTGCGGCTCTGTGGGGAGGTACAGAGAGAGGCCACAAGTGCATTCTTGAGTTGCTGCTCTCTGCAGCTGTTGAAATGAGAAGGAATTAAATGTGTTGACACAAACACCGAAGACAGTATATAAGTGAATAAAAGCCAGGTGCAAAGCAGTATGTACAGTGTGATCTTAGTTTAATAAATATATACTATATAGCTAGGAAAAACATGTGAAAACATACACAGATTATTACCATTAATTATCTCTAGGGATAAAGAGTCCAAGTTCAGATAAATAGGTTTTTACACTTTCTAAGTTATTAATTTCCCTAGTGCTGGAATTTTATTTATTTATTAAAAAATATAGCAATCAACAAAAAAGTTTAAAAGATATTGTTCTATAACTCAAAAGTGAAATCTTATCTTGCTGTGAGCATACATTTATTTAAAAAAATAAATTCATTGTTATTCATTTTAATGTTGGAATTTTATAACAATGATTATGTCTTTTGAAACCAGAGAGAAAACTTCAAAGAAAGAAGTAAATGTGAAAATATCTCGGTTTTCATCATTTGAAGGGATTTACTCTTGAGACAAGGGGATATTCTGCATATGGTCCTGCTGGATATACACTTGCTTTTATTTTTCATTGTAATCTTGCTTCCTCCCAAGTGTTCAAAGGAAAGAAAAATATATAATACCCCATTTACTGTGTTAAAATATTAGAAATAAGTAAATGACTAATGGGGGTACAGAAAATACAGCATTTAAAACTTGCCATGTGTCTGCACTTTCTTTAGTTCTAAGTGTTTCCAAATGTTATATTACTGAATCTGTATAACAGCCATGTTGGCTACGTAGCCTACAGATCCCATTTTACAGATGAAAAAGGTGAGGCATATATTGTATGAGTTTAAAAAAATCAGCTATAGCTCTGTTAGGCTGCAGCACAAAAAATATGCTACAAAGTTGGTTCATTAGAGAAAACCTAGAAAAAGTACAAAGAACACTACTGGTTTGAGACAATTTAAAAAAATTATGCATACAGTGAATCATAATCTAACTGTTTGAAGTCACAAAATATGCAAAGGTGACCACAGATTTAATTTAATATCCTCATTGTAATTCAGATCAGAAGAGAATGTCAGGGTTTAGTAAAATGAAATAATAAATGAGCTACTAAACAGCCAATAATGAATGCAGTCACAGAAATGTCTCTGTTTGGGTTGCAAGTCATCTACTGGAATTTTGCTGTCAGTACCACCTAGGATATTTCCTAGGCTAATATTTTAGAAGTTATAAGTAATCTTTACTTTTATTTATGTATTTATTATTTTTGTGGCATATTACTTTATAGAATGGAGGTTCCACAAAGTTGGATACTTGTTTCCCAAGGGCCTAGAACAGTGCCTGAAACATGGTAGACATTCAGTAAGTATTTATAGAATGAACTCAGTTGAATAAGCACTTAAAGGTAGCTTGAGCCTTGGTCTCTTACCACATCAGTGATGTAATAACTGGAAGTATCAATCTAAAATACTCTTTAGTTAGTCGACGACCACTTCAATATTCAGCACTGAATTCAAATGCAATATAATAGTTCACAGCTATTACCCATTAAAGTTTATTAAAAGCAAATCTCGCTAAGATTTACTTTTTATAAAATTGGGAGAGGGGCAGTCTTTAAAGGTGGCAACATAGGAGGCTCCTGAACTCTCCTCCTCCCACAGACACATTGAATGAACAGCCACACAGGGAATAATTCCCCCTGAGGGAAATCCAGAAACAAGCTGGAATGCACACATATCAGTTGAATGAGAAAATATCCACACTGAAATCAGGAGGAAAGGCTGAGACACACTCTTGTCATAAACCCCATTCCCAACATAATGCCACACAATTGGGAAGGAACCCCCAACTCCCAGCTTCTCCCTGAGCATCTAAGGGTTTGGACCCCACACCCAATACCCCAATTTTTAAGACTCAGGCTCCCAAAACACCTATCTCTGAAAACCAATGACACTTGCATCCATGAGGCCCACAAAACTATAGCAAACAAAGAAGCAGTTATTAATGGGCGTGAGCGCTAGCTGTGGCTATCCCACAGTGCTCAGTGCAGAGGAAGTAGGCAGAAATGCTCATCTCCGTTTTTCCCTGAAAGGATTCTATTTGCACACTTCAATACTGCCTGAGGGTCACGCTTCTAAGTTACCAGGCATCTAGGGACTGGCTGCAGTCCTCCCTGGAGACCAGGAAAGCCGGAGGACACCTCCCCTGCCCTCTCCCTCTAGCCCTCTCCAAGCTGCCAGTCTTCCTGGAAGAACCTTGTACACACATCTGGTGCCTCAGCTTTTGAGGCTGCTGCCCAAGGGAAGGCGCCTGGATCATCCGGTCCTGATAGTCAATGGGGCTTGTATTCATGAGGCCCATAAAACTACAGCAAACAAAGAACTTCTTAATGGGCTCAGGACCACGCCCCGAATTTTACACGGGACCCAGCACTGAGGGAGCAGGTAAAATGCTCGCTTCCCAGTTTCTCCCAGCCAGAGGCCTAACATCATTCTTCCCTAGCTGCTGCCTAAGGGACCAGCCCTGGCACATACTTAACTATCGGGAGCCAGTAAGAACTAAGAAAGTGGCTAGACAATAACAAATGTTTGATCGATAACCAGAAACACAGGCTAGGCTGATTGGTGAGACTGATCTCCTACATCAGACCAGCTTGTCAAGACTGGGAGAGGTGACTCTTTTATCTAAATATATAGAAACCGACATGGAGAGTCAAGGAAAGTGAAGAAACAGAGGAATAGATTCCAAACAAAAGAACAAAATAAACCTTTAGAAATAAATCTTAAGGAAACAGACAACCAGAAGAAATGGATAAATTCCTACAGACATGCAACCTACCAAGGCTGAGTCATGAAGCAACAGAACGCCTAAACAGACCAATGACTAGTAAAAAGATTGAATCAGTATTCAAAATCCTCTCACCAAACAAGTCCCGGACCACGTGGCTTCCTGGTGAATTCCACCAAACATTTAAAGAAGCATTAATCTCAATCCTTCTCAAACCCTCCAACCTCCTACCCCACCCTAAAAAGAGAAGAGCACAGAACACTTTCACACTCGTTTTATAAGGCCAGCATCACCCTGGCACTGAAACCAGACAAGGACACCACAAGAAAATAAAATTACACACATACACGCCTGTTAGAATGGCTATTATAAGAAGGACAAGCGATGGCAAGTGCTGGTGAGGGTGTGGAGAAAAGGAAACCCTAGTGCGCTCTTGGTGGGAATGCAGGTTGGTGTAGCCACTATGAAAAAAGCATGGAGGTTCTTAAAAAAAATTAAAAAATTTTTATTTTTTAAATCTTTATTGTTGAAAGTATTACAGATGTTCCCCTCCCCCCCATTGATGCCCTCCACTCCACATCCACCCCACCCCCAGGCCTTCCCCATACCAATGTCTGTGTCTGTGGGTTATACCTATAAACATAAGCATGAGATATTGGGCAAAAATATAACTAGCACATGATCCAGCATTTATGGGTATATATCCAAAGGTAATTAAAACAAGACCTTGAAGAGATATCTGTACATCCATGTTTACTGCAGCATTATTCTCAAGAGCAAAGATATGAAAACAACTTAAATGTTCATAAACTTAATGGATAAAGAAGATTATATATATATTATATTACATATATATTATATGTAATGGAATATTGTTTAGCCATGAGAAAGAAGGAAATCCTAACATTTGCAACAACATGGATGGACCGAGGACATTATACTACATGAAATAAGTTAGACAAAGACAAATACATATATTACTTATATGTGGAATCTAAAAAAGTTGAACTCATATATACAGAGACTAGAATTATGGTTACTAGGGGGTGAGGGTTGGAATGGGGGGGAATGAGGAGATGTTGGTCAAAAATTACAAACTTCTAGTTATAAGATGAATAAGTTCTGGAAATTTAATATATAGCATGGTGATTATACTTAAAATACTGTATTATGCACTGGAAAGTTTCTAAGAGAGTAGATTTACATGTTTTCACCACAAAAAAGGAAATGGTAACTATGTGATGTAATGGATGTGTTAGTTAATAATCAATTTACAATATATAAGTGTATCAAATCAATACAATTTTAACTTACACAGAGTTGTATGTCAATTATATCTCAATAAAGCTGGGGAAAAATTGGGTGGAATAGCTTAAGCTGTGCAATTAGTTAATTGTCTAAAGGTGCTTTATCACATTTTAGTATAAGGAAGAAACCATAGACAGCCCTTGAAGCTCATGGGTTTCAGATTCAGTTGTTTAACCATTCATGAGTTAAGCAGTTAATCAAGTGTCCAGTATTATACTAGACACTTGCATTAGAAATGAATATTCATTCATCATCCACCTAATCATCAATCTATCACAAATATTTATTTAATCACTACTATGTACCAAGCATTGTGCTAAATTCTTTATGTACATAAATGATTGTCAATTTTGCTTTCCAAGGGACATTTGGCAATGTCTGGAGACATACTATTTGGTTGTCCTAACTGTGAAGGGGGTTGCTACTGGCAACCAGTGGTAGAGGCCACGGTTGTTCCAAAACATCCTACAATGCCCAGAACAGCCCCTAGAATAAAGAATGACCCAGCCCCAAATGCCAGTAGTACCAATGTTGGGAAGTCTGATGTTCATTTTAAAATTTAGTCCACACAACCCTATGAGGTAGATAGAGAATTATTACCGTCTTCTTACAAATGAAGAACTAAGGCTTGCAGTGGTCTATAAGCCAAGGTCCAATTCCATAAGAGGCTGAGCTGGCCTTTATTTGACACCAAAGTTGTGCCCTTAAGAAGTACACTATTCCTTGGATAAAGAAAATCCAGGGTGACACAGGTTGGGGTGAGGGTGATGAGGGAGGGGAGAAAGGGATAGGTTGAGAAAGTGAGTGGATAATAAAGCAGGAATAAATCATTACTGCATAAGGCATTCAGGAAAAAGATAAGTGCAAGGAGGATAAGGCAGGCATTAAATGATACTAAAACAGATGGTGCTTTTATGGATACCTCAAGAGAAAATGGGGCTAGAGAAAGAAATGGAACTGCTAATAAATAAGGAGGAGCTCCAAATTACATGAAAAAAAAAAAGCATCTAATCCTGAGCTCTTAAAATCCGCCTCTCCCAAAGGAAACAGATGTGAACAAGTTAGGAAGTAGTGAAGAAATAGTTATTGATTACAAGCAGCCCATTAGAAATGTGAAATATAGGCTTATAAGGTATTAGGAAGTAGGCTCACATACTTACTGAATCACTTAGAATGATTTATGGACGAATTCTTGAGATTTGAGGAGGCTGCAAAGATTTGAACAAAGTAAAAACTGTAATGATATTTAAGACACATAGGGACTATAAAAGAGCTTATTATGAGACTCCAGTGGAACTTTGCTCCACTATTATTTACAAAATCAGTATAAATTCATCATCCTGGACCCTGTGTGAGAGAGATCGGTCACTGAAATACTGAAAAGCCCTCATTATAAGGTGGATCCACATTCAAAGGTACCCTATCATACACCCTAAGACTGGGTTAAAGCAAGGTCAATTGTATATCTGAACTTGATGGGCTATATTTTGTTGCTACAATTACACAACACAATGTACCTATTAGAAAGTATACAGTTGTCCCTTGGTGTCTGTGGGGTTTTGGTTTCAGGATCTCCCGTGGATACAAAAATCCATGGATGCTCAAGTCCCTTATATAAAATGATGTAGTATTTGCATACGATCTACACACATCCTCCTGTATACTTTAAATCATCTCTAGGTTCCATATAATACCTAATACAATGTAAATGTTATGTAAACAGTTGTTGTTTAGGGGATAACAACAAGACAAAAAAGCCTGTACATGTTCAATACAGACGCAACCATCATAGGCCTAACTACGTAGTACACATTAGCAACGTAAATCCTCCCCCGCCCAACTATTTATGATCTGAGGTTGGTTGAATCTGCAGAAATGAAACTAATGGGGCCTACTGTATTTTACTACATTTGGCTTAATTTAAAATAATAATGGAAAGAACTAAGTCATATGGATTAAACAAAGCATGGTTGAACACTTTTAAACCAGTAACTGTAAGGACAGGTACATTCTCTAGAGGTAAACCACAAAGAGGGTACATCTTGACTCCTAGAAACTGACTGGAGTCTCAGAAAAGTTTTCCTTAATAGCTGACATACATTTTCCTTTTGCACTTTAAACTCATTACATCTTGTCATCTTTGGGAAAAACAGAAGCGCAACAAATACAATATTCCTTGCGATTGTATCCTCTCCCACCACTGTTTTTGTTCCAATTCACTGAGCTTTCTTAGTGGCTTCACTATAAGCTAAACTTTGGATAGTTTAATGAAATGCATGTTTTAACATTATAAAAGTAATGACTGCTATAAACTATCAAACATTGGACATGTGTATAAGATAGGAAAAAAATGTAATGAATTTATTTACTTAGCCAACAACCTGGTAATGAACTTTAGGCTACTAAATTTTTGCTATTAAAATGTAAGGACCCTGGCCCAGCTGGTGTAGCTCAGTGGTTTGAGCATTGACCTATGATCCGGGAGATCGGGGTTCGATTAACAGTTGGGACACATGTTCGGGTTGCATGCTTGATCCCCAGCAGGGGGCGTGCAGGAGGCAGCCGATCAATGACTGTCTCATCATTGATGTTTCTATCTCTCTCCCTCTCCCTTCCTCTCTCTGAAATCAATGAAAAAAAGTATTTAAAAAGAAGAAAAAAAAGTAAGGACCTTGAAGCAGAAGCATGATCAGTGTGTTCAGGGGAGGTGAGGAGGTCAACTTAGTTTGAGTGGAGTTAGGAAAGGTGAGGGTGGGTGGGCTCTGGTCAGATCATGGTGGCTTTGGTAGATGTCCTACGTATGATGGGTTTTGAGCAGAAGAGTGCAGGATCAGATTTGTATTTTACAAGATGGTTTTGTTGCCTTTGAGAAACAGATGCGGAGGGGGCTGGATGGGAGGTGTGGAAGTCAGAAGGCCAGCTAAGAGGCCACTGCCGTGGTCTGGACAAAGGGCGAGAGCAGCTTTAGAAGAGTCAGGTTAAAGTGAGGAGCAGAGAAGGGGTTGTATTTGGGACATGTGAAGGCTCAGATGTCAGGACTTGCTGAAGGATTGATTGTGCGGTGAGACACAAGGAAGGGGAAGCTAAGGGTAACCTCAGGGTTTTTGGCTGAGCCATTGGGCGAGGAAGTGCTATTTACAGAGATGGGGAAATACTGCAGCAGGGGAAGGGGGAGCAGAAAGGGGGCTATCCGAGGGGTAAAGTTAACAGCTTGGTTTTAGCCACGTTAATATTGGGATGCCCTCTAGACTTCTGGTACACAACTGGAGTTCTGGAGAGAGGTCAGGGCTGCAGACTTAGACAATAGATGTTTTTGTTTGTTTATTATTATTATTTTTATGCCACAGGACTAATCTCCTCCAGTGTCAGTAATCTACTGAAACTATTGCTTCACAAGGTGATCACAGATGTTGAATTTCAGATGTGGGTTACAGACTGGAGAATGTAAGGAAGCCGTGCTTCTGTATTTATAAAACAGGAAAGAAGCATTTGTCCTCTGAGAATCACTGTGAGCGAGTAGGAGGAAAACCCATCCTATTTAAGGCACCTGATAGTGTCTGGAGTAAATTACCTAGGTGTAATCCCATCAGTCCTCAATAAATCAAAAGGATGCAGAGTCACACATATTTTTGGATGATTCGGGACACGTTTCAGGGCAATGACACAGTGCGTATATATTATATTCCTTTATATAGAAAGAGCAAAAAAGGTTTTTAGAAGCAGCAATTTTGCACGTTGATGTCTTCAGATGTTATTTTCTTCTCGCACTTATTTTCACACGTACCAAATGAAAAACCTGCAGCCAGTTTCAATTAGCAGAGCCCACACTCGTATTTGACTGCGGGTCTAAAAAAAAAAATTGGATTCTGACCAATGAATGATCAAAGTTGAAACGTCTACTGGAAATCCCCTAACATCCTATGATGAAATCCAATGCTTAGATATCTTGTTCAGTGCCCTAACCTGAATGTTTATACATCAACAGTTAAACAATGTCACTACAGGTTTAAATTTACAGAGTGAAAGCAAAATACCTAACTTCAATACTCCCTTTTTGCACTTATTCTAAGCAGTTGAGTGATACTGGCTCTTTGAATCTTGGCAGCTGGTTAAGTTTAGTAGTGCTGGGCACTGTAATTTTTCTTTGAGAAACTTGATACTCGTTTTCAGACATCAGGTTATGATTAATCATCACCTACTACTAAAAGTTTTTGAAAGGATATCTCCAGGAAGTGCTTTGAATACGCTGTGCTGTTTGGATTTTGCAGATGGACATGCTGCTTCCGCTAAAATGTCACTAAGCAAAAGACACCTATGGATGGGGAATTCATTTTAAGTATTACCGAGGGAAATTGAGAATCACCTGGTACACCTGGCTGTCTTAATCCCTTTCAATGCACAACCTCTTATTTTTAGAAATAAGAAATAGATACAGGTTAGGTTCCTGAATAATCCTTAGGGATAAACACTGGAGTGTGAAAATGGACTTTTTCTTCTGTAAAGAATGAGAAGATAGTGCTTTATTTATTTATTTATTTTAAAAATGTTTCTTTATTGCTGAAAGTATTACAAATGTCCCATTTTTCCTCCACTGATCCTCTCCCCCCTGCACCCCTCCCCTCAGGCCTTCACCACACTATTGTCTGTGTCCATGGGTTATGCACATACGTATATAAATTCCTTGGTTAACCTCTCCCCAGCCACCCAGCCACCCCTGCCTTCCCTCTGAGATCCCTCAGTCTGTTCCATGTTTCTATGTTTCTGGATCTATTTTGTTCAACGGTTTATTTTGTTCATTAGATTCCACATATGAGTGAGATCATGTGGCACTTGTCTTTCTCTCACTGCTTATTTCACTTAGCATAATACTCTCCAGGTCCCACCATGTTGTCTCAAAGGGTAAGAGATCCTTTGTTTTTACAGCTGCATAGTATTCCATGGTGTAAATGTCTGAGAAGATCCTTGATATGATTTCAGTCTTCTTGAACTTGTAGAGACTTGTTTTGTGTCCTAACATGTGGTCTTTCTTTGAGAATGTCCCATGTGCACTTGAGGAGAATGCCTATTCTGCAGCTTTGGAGTGGAATGTTTTGTAAATGTCAATTAAATCCAAGGAGATAGTGCTTTAAAGGAGTAAATGTGAGTAAACAAATACTTGACACTCATAATTTTGGAAATCCTGTGTGATGCTATGTGCAGATCTATCATATCATCTATCTGTATTTGTAGGGGGGGTTATTAACTAAATAAATCGTGTTTAATTACACATCTAAGTTCCATCTTTAATTATAAAATCCTTGCCCAAATTTGCCTTCATTGGCACCAGATATAGGGCAGTTTTTAGAATGTTCTTTTTGCGTGTGTGTGTGATTTAAATATTTATTAGTTTGAGCACCTATAAAGCTATGAATATTATCCACTCTTGCACTGTATTATTTATGCTGAATCACAAATCTTTAAGCCATGTCCGTTAAAAATGTAATTTAACATTATTTTAAAACCTGTAGACAAAAATTGAATCTGACCACTTAAACTTGTCAGTTACTGAGAGTTTGATACATTATTTGCCCACTTTTCTTTTAAGCTATTAAAGAGCAAAATATTAAGGATCTGGATTTTTTTTCTTTTATTATTTTTTTTTACTTAAAAAAATTAGAATGTTCTAATTTCATATTTGCTTTTATGTGCTGTTGTTTATGAACCCTACAAAGTATATTACTGTTCTTATCTGTGCTTAAAAGGGAAGAAAAAGTGTCCCAGAGAGGCTTATAGAAGGTAATACAAGCCAGGACAGGATTAGAATTTGTGGAAACCGACTCCCGCAGCTGCAGCTCAGCCTGCGAAACATACATAGCGTCCCAACAAATTCTAAGCTATGAGGAAAAATCCTACTTTACTCCCTTTCTTTTCATTATCAATTCCTTTCCTACCATCATGAGCTTGTTGAATAAAGCNTTTACTCCCTTTCTTTTCATTATCAATTCCTTTCCTACCATCATGAGCTTGTTGAATAAGACACGCTCCATTTCAAGGAGAACAAAAAACAAGGTTTATTGAAAACATGTGAAAATTCAACCTAGGACTCCTTTATAACGAGGCTGGAGATGCCTAACAGAGCTTAGTAGCATCCGGAGCAGGATATTTCCCACACACTAAATGTGGAGAAAGAAAAGGTAATTCAAAAACAGTTTCAGATGTGCACATTTTA